GTTTAAGACTTATGAACGGGGGAGGGTTGTTGGAGTTTATTCTGCACGCGAGAATTGCAACTCGTTTATCATTCTCGCTCCGGTCCACTGAAAAGCGTCACGGCCAGTTTCGTATCTCGTAACTTCGCGTCTTTGTACTTCTAACGTCGAAGCTTTGACGCGCAGCGTGTCGCAAGCAGATCGTAACATGACTGGCCAGTGAAATCTTTGGGACGTAAACCGTCGCGGAAAACTACTCGGGAAACGAGCGATCCGGTTTTAAACGAGGCGCTTTCGATTTCCCTGTCGACTCCGGGGAGAATCTCGTAGAAACGACACGGTAATCGATCACGGATGCAATAATCTTTAACTTTATCGCTTAGTTACGAGCAAAGACTGATTGTCCGGGCGTCGCGTTGGCACATTAGCGTTGCTATTGACAATGTAATCAGCGCGTGGATTCGAGCGTACGACCCAGTTTATCAGCCTCGCATTCATGGTTCATATATCATTATATAAATACTAGTATATCAATTACACTTTAATTTTGTATTCCCTTGAGCTTCCAATAAATTGGCAAACATTTTTTAACGCGGTGATTGAAAGAAGCAAGAATGACTGTACGGGGAAATAGAGTAGATCGATTTAAGAGAATTAGCAGGAGTATTTGATTGCGCAACGTTCCCGGAATTAATTACGAGCGAACTATACTAATTATTGAGGAGCTAAAACAGATTCGATTGCACATGCATCGATCATGGTTGCAGGCTGCAGCATGTTATTCCTGACCGTGACAGCATGTCTGCTGATCGCGGTGCAGGCCGGATGTCCTCTGAGACCAACCACGGAACAAACTTCCGCTTCAAGGACCACGGGCGACGGTGGCTACAGGATTCTGGTTAGCGGCGAGGCTGACAAATATATTCCGAACGCTGTTTACACGATCAGCTTGCGAGGTAACGACGTCCGATTTCCCGCTCGCCAATCTTCCCTTGCGATATTTAGATCGTACGATTGCGTAATCTGATTTGCTCGAACGTTAGGTCAAAGGTTCTCGTCGTTAATGTTTGATGAAGCTACATCATGTATCAATCATTCGAATATACATGCTCATGAGTTTTAGTACATGTTTGAATTTAATATTTATTCCCTATTAGAAAATCCGATAGGTTTATGTTTATTGCAATTTAGAAGATCGTAAATAGCTTGAATGATATTAATAAAAAGATGAGCATGCGATTTTACATTTTTAAAAATTTCAATTCTCAGTGAGAAAGATTCTCAGAGTTTGATCAACGAATTCAATCTGCGTACACGGTACACAAGAAATAGATTTCCCTTTAAATGATATATCATCCGAACTCCGCTTGTGAAGTATGATTAAATCGATTTCAGGTGCGGAATCGCAAGAGAGGTTGCAACAGTTCACGCGTTTCACACTCTCGGTGCATTCTCAACACGCGCCGAGCAGTCTCTCAGCTCGAGTGGGATATTTCCAACTGTTTCCCGATGGCCTGACCGCTTTCAACGAGGACTGCGTTAACACCATCTCCGAATCTTCCGATTACCCCAAAAATGAGGTCTCTTCATCATTTTTATTATAAATTACCATTTTTTAAGACACGTGAAGACTACGAGAAATCAAGATTTCTATTAACTCTTATGGAGATCGTTGATCAATTTCATCGTTTAATTGGAAGGAAGGAAATAAATTAAATAACGAGAAGGCAGGGACGATTTTATTTCTTTTTGTTTCAACAGCGGTATTTGAGTCTATGAGTACATTGTGGAAATGCACTGAGGTGGATTACGGATAAATGCCTGGCGACTGGCTGCCGGCCAAACGTCGCCCTCGATGTTTGATTTCTTTCGCGTTATCGTAGCGAATTTCTCCGCCGCGCGACAGTAAAAACATTTTTTCCTTACCCTTTGGCACAGGTCCAAGCGATGTGGAGGGCACCGCCGTCAGGATCAGGATGCGTTATCTTTACAGCGATGGTGTTAGAGAATAACGTTCGGTGGTACGCTGAGGACGGCGGTTTAACCAAGACCTTCTGCGAGATGGCCCCGGCCGAGGTCGAGAGCATCGACGGTGACAAGTGCTGCGCTTGTGATGAGGCCAAATACTCGGTGAGATTTTTCAATGCCAGTATTGCTATATGGAACAAACTTGAAACGACACGTTCATTTATTTAATTACAAATTTACTCTACTTTTTATACTAAACGTCTTTTAATAAAATCGTTAAATAGAGTTTTAGTTTTTACTGAGTAGTTTTAGTTCTCTCTAACCGATAAAATACGATGGAAGAAGAAGTTAACTCTATTTTAAACTTAACACCGTCAAGTGCACATGATACACTCTTTGCTACGAGCTATATAATACAGACCTCCTGGAAAGTTTCTCGGTATTTATAGAAAAGGAAGTCTCAAAGTTCGCACGCAGCACGCGGTAAAAGCTTGAAAGGTTTATGAGGAATTTCTTGAACTCCGGCAATGGTTTTCGTTCCAGCTGACATTGGAGGGAATCTGGTCGAACGTGACCCACCCGAAGGACTTCCCATTCTCCGTGTGGCTGACCCACTTCAGCGACTTGATAGGTGCATCCCACGTACCTAGCTTCTCGTTCTGGGGTAAGGAGCACACAGCTACCGATGGCTTCCGGCAATTGGCCGAATGGGGTTCCACTTCTGGTTTGGAAGTCGAGCTCAGGGCTAACTCGGCACACTTGAGAACCCTCATTAAAGCTGCCGGGCTTTGGTACCCGAACGTTAACACCAACACTAGCACCAGTTTCAGGTCTGCCTCGACTATGCGCATTAACAAAAACTGTGTTCTCGACATTCGAAATGAAATTAAATTCTCTCAACTGACGCGCAATGACGTCATTATTTCAGAGTGGACAGGAAGCATCCCATGATATCTGTGGCTTCCATGCTGGGTCCGTCCCCGGATTGGGTCGTCGGTGTCAACAAGCTGAATCTCTGCCGGAAGGATTGTACCTGGACAAAGAGCGAGATAATCGATCTGTACCCGTGGGACGCTGGCACTGACAATGGAATCTCTTACATGTCGCCCAACTCCGAGACCGTACCGCGGGAGAAGATGAAACCGATCACCACTTTGTATCCCGAGGACCCGAGATCACCTTTCTATGACCCAACGGGAAGACCGATGCTGCCTCTAGCCAGGCTGTATTTGGATAGAGAGAAGATCATTCCTCGAGGATGCGACGAGGAGGTTCTCCAGCAGCAACTGACGCAACTGGAGGTCGCTGAGAATACGGAGGACACTGTCAGACGTAAGGAACGATGGCTGTTTTCTCTTTTAATTAGCAATACGAATTTTACTAACATAATGAATTATAAAAAAGAACTGGTTTGTTCTCAGCCGAATGTCGGACTACAGAGTACACCGAATGGTCGACCTGTTCCGTGACGTGTGGCAAAGGATTGAGGATGCGAACCAGGTCTTACCTGATGCCAGAGAAGGCAACGATGTTCAAGTGTAATAGACAGCTGGTTTCCAAAGAGATGTGTGTTGCATCGATCCCAGAGTGTTCGTAAGTACCATCATTATTTCAGGTAAAAAGAATAAATTCTTCTCATTCTTGGCTGCCACTGAATGATTCATTTGATTGATTAAATCGAAGGATTAGATATTTTTCTTTATTTCAGTAATGAGGAAGACACAGAGGATGGCAGCCTGTTGCCCGTAGCTAACAACGCGTTCTGCGACACTTCTGACTGGAGCGTCTGGTCCGAGTGTTCGGCCACTTGTGGTCCCGGGTTAAGAATGAGGACCAGGCAATTCAGGAGTCGTAAAGCCCGCAAACGATGTCCTCACGTGTCTCTCGTCGAGAAAGAAAAATGCATGAAACCAGCCTGCGAGCCCGGATTCCAGGAGCAGATCGATCCTACGTGCAAAGTATGCGATCGGTGCTGGCTCAATCTCATTGATATTCCGCGTCTCGCCTTCCCGTGTAACAAATTTCGTTCGTGACCGTTCAAGGTGTCCGATTGGTCCGATTGGTCACCGTGCAGTTCCACCTGTGAATCGGGATTGAAAACGAGAACCAGATTGCTGCTCGTCGAACCATCGCTGCAGCGAGAGTGCTCCACCAAGGTGACGCTAATTCAACAGGAGAGATGCGCGGGCCTGGGCGACTGTACTTTTGACTTGCCGACAGCTAAAGGTATTAAACAGATCGATTGTGGAATCTATCAGTGAAAGCGTTCACAGAGATATGAATCATAGCTTGATCCACTGAATTTAGCGGTCTGCATGGAAAAACCTGCGTATGGGTTCTGCAAGGCGAGTATAACGATGTGGGCGTTCGATCCAGAAAAATTGCAATGCGTGCGTTTCATTTACGGCGGTTGCGGTGGAAACAGGAATATTTTCTGGACTTCTGAAGATTGTATCAAGAACTGCGGCATTGTAAGTAATATTGAATTTATCCATTATGATAAATAAATAAATCCATGATAAATAATAGGGAAGCACGTTTATTGGTATTTAGATAAGAACGATGCAAAGTCTGCCCTTGAATGAAACCAGCAGCGACGATTGTAAAGTGAGCTCATGGTCGAAATGGTCACCGTGCAGCGTCACGTGTGGCAATGGTCGCGTCACCAGTACCCGTATAATTAAGGTGATGTGAATAAAATTGAATTATCCTCATAATTGATTTGTTATTAAATGAATTGATTTGAAATTTGTAGCAAGAGCCACAGAACGGAGGCCGAGCTTGCCCGAAAAAGCTCGTACGCCACGCTAGATGCTTTTTGGCACCATGCGAGTAACAATGCCAACGAGATAATTAATAAAAATTACTTGAGCAGGGGATGAAAATTGCCGTTGGCGTTCTTCGCGGAAAACGGTGTTTTCAATTATTTTATATCAATGATGTCATTGAGAAATGTTGCTTTTCGATGTTGAAATTCAAGAATGACTGTAGCCTATTTTATACAAAATGATGGGTATGAAATAAACGGATGTATCAGAATAAATGGTATTTTATTAATGGTCATTCGTGATCTTCCTATCTTCGGTCGAGTTACTCGGACACGCTGCGCTACGATCACAAAACATATAACATTTTTCCGTTCATCTGAAAAAACGCCAGAGAAAAACTTTACAATTAAAAATAATTGCACAAGGAAAAGTTTTTCTGCATTTAAGGAAACGAATATAGAACCTCGTTACAGTAATCCTGGCTCCTCTACGTAATTTTATACCTTATACCAGTAAATTCGAATCGTACCCTGACAATTATACAAAAGTTTATATAGCATTATCAAACGCTCACAATGTCCTGATAATCCTTGATAGGAAAAAATAACGGCTGTAAACTGCCTAACCATTTATAATTCCATTCTTGCCTCCGATAATATTATAATTACTGATCCCTATAAAATATCTGATCTCCGGTGATGGATGTGCGCTGCGCTTTCGGAAAATGATATTTAATTTCGATCGTTAAAAAATTCCGCTAACTTCTATGAATTCGTCGTTAAGATATATTTTGTTACGATCTATTGTTTCGACCGGCTTGAGGGTCGTTAAGAAAATCTTTGGTTGGTTCCGTTTACGCGTGTAAGTACTTTGCTCTTTCGCACCCCATAGTTTCGTGCGCTTAACAATTACATTACATTATACATATATATAATTCGTTTCTCTCTTTGTTCACGAGTTAACGTTCACTACGTCGTTCGCCCAGTGGACATCTAATTTAACATTTACAATAATAATCTCATAAATAATACACGTAGGTACAATTAACTATATTTTACGGTCCCGCGAAGGATCAAGGTTCGAGTATCTTCGCATCGCAGTTTCGATCATAATCTATTATCATACGTACACGTAATACTTAGGAAGTAGAACGGATCGTTAATCTCCTTTAGGCCTCTACTCGGCTACGCTACACGGTTCGTTTTTTTTTTTTGGTCGTGACACGCTTCATACCTCCAGCTTCGGCGAACCTACTAATAAAAGGAAAAAGGATCAACATGAATGGGCCCTATCGTAATTTTCTTTCCTTCCTGTCGTGGACAAGGGAAAGGGATTGAATCTCGGTTGAAGTTTCTCCAAGAATAAGAGCGGTGTCAGCAAATTCTCGCTGAGCTACATTGGCCTAATTTTCGAGAGCGCCATCACAACGCACTTGCTTTCCCTTTACGATGTTTGTTTCTTCGACGGAGCAACAGGGAAGGAAAAGTGTAATCAGATTCTTGACTAGAGTGCTGTCCGATAATGCGGTGAACTAATGAGATAAAGGGAAACTTTCTGAAGCGCTTATGGTTGATTCGATGACAGCGGTTTACCACTGAGAATCTATATGGACGAAACTAACACAAAGAAATGATTACGTCGGTGTCCGATAATAAAATTTGTCTTTTCACGATTTTCAAAATGAACGATTCGAAGTGTTATTAAAAGATGCGACAGCCTTTACTGACTCGCGTCTTCAGTTATTCCTTAAACTTAACGCGGTTAATCGCCGTAGGTTCCCTTCCTTCGACTAGTACTGACTAGCATGAAATAGTTGCCGTCGACCCACTCGCCCCATCCATTCTGGCAGTAGTAGCAGGTAGTGACTAACAAGTATAGTTAACAGGTCGATACGAAACGAATCGAAACCGCGCGAGTCTTCTCGCCGGATTCGATCGTTTCCTTTGCGGTAGAAAATCATCGAGCGACTAACGGGCGACACTGATCCGGCGAGATTAACAATGCCACGGGGTATGGTCGTTAGGAACACGATAGATCGACGTAATCGACGCGAGGAAACTTGACCCGCTTCAACGACGGTACCTGTGTACACGTTTCTCTCGGGAAGAAACATCTATTCCACGGAACGTCCGCTCGTTTCCGGTCTGCGACCACGGTGCTCGTCCCAGAAACTTCCCGACGGGCTTGTTTCCCGGTACGCAATAAGGCGCCGTGAAAGTTAATCTCTTAGGAAAGCGGGGAAAGTTCGCGCGTTAGGCGAAAGATACGTCCGCTCGTATCAAAGTTAGTTAGTTGCTCTCTCTCCCTCCCTGATTTTTCTCTGTTGATATTCGAAGGGGAACGGGGTCCGTCGCGTAGGTGGGTCGACGAAACGTTGTTCTCGAGATTCACGTCACATAGTTAGTATTAACAATAACAATATACATATACATATCGTTTCTATATATTATAGTTTCTTGTTTTGTTTCGACGAAGATACGGGTCCTCGTGAGAAGGCATCGTTGTGCGTGTGCCGACGATCACACGATTATACGCATGATCCCGAAATTCGATCGATCCTCTCAAGTCTTTTAACTATAACGAACGTTCGATTGTCCGGGCGAAACACGGACGATCACCCCGAATCAAATCTCTGTCCTCATTTTCTCTTACGCGTTCGAGTAACCGCGATTAAAACATTTGTCTCAAATAGGACTCCACGTTTCGATCTGTGGAGACCGGAACGTTAGGATCAAGTTGGATTCTGCTAGCTGATACGTCGCGTCGAGGCGACCGGTGGATCCTCTCAGAGCCATCCACCGGAAACGTCGTGGCCGGATATCGGTTCGATACCCGGGAGCCGTTGCAGCTGCGTCGCCGAACCGTTTCTCTTCATGGTCGCGGGCAAGGAACTGCTGCCGGCCACGCTCTCCTCGGTCGTCGCCGGTGTCAACGTCGTAACTTTTATGTAACACAAATAAATAACGTCCACTACCTCGACTGTTGCCAAAATTCGCTGATCGTTGCCTAAGTAAACCGCAGTTCGCGTCAGCTTGTGTGCAAACTTTCACTCGATTGAGTTAAGAACAAGAGATCTAACTACTAGTAATTGACCACGTGTTAGTTGACCTTATGCTGCAATTGTCAAATTATGTTACCGATTATTTATGTTCTCACATGAAATTTAACTTTGTTTCTACCGAATTTATTATCTAATTAAGAAAGATTTATTTAATAGAAAGTTAATGTACTATTGAATGTGTTCCACAGTCTAATTAGTATAAATTTCGGCCAATTGCATATGATGAGGCGTGCAGTGAATGAAAATAATTCTGGACAAGTTCGTAAAAAATGGATTAAACATCAAAGATAATTAACTCACCAGGATGCTCGCTGCCACTGGCACCCTCGGGAGTGTCGATGCTAGGCTGTTGGCTCTGCGTCGCCTCGTGCCTTCTAGATGTGATCGGTTGGTCTATCTCCGGTCCCCGGGTCGGTACGCTGCTCGCTCTCTGTAGGTGTTGCTTCCTTGATATTTTCGAGACGACAGCGGTGGCGATCGGGGGAATCGGATTCGTGGTACTAGCCATGGTCGACGACGATCTGGATTCGGAGAATGTTTTCCTGAGAGCTAGCAATGCGCTCAGGCGTGAATTGTGCGGGTGATGAGCTTGATGCGATTGAGTTTCCTGACCAGGAGTTTCCAGCGATAATTTCGAGTCCGGTGTTCCCTCGGATCTCGATCCCCCGTCCTCGGAAGCAGGTAAATACACGGAATCCTCTGAACGGGATTTACCTGAAAATACAATATCGTTCGTCTTTTTCCATATACTGCGATTTAAATAATTAAGCATTAAATAGATAATTTCAAAATGTGATTCATCATGAAATATTATCCGATTTCTTACAGTAATTATATTATCATGTACTTTCGATTTCACACCTTGATGTTTGTGACGAATATTTTAATTAGAATATGCGTAAAATTTACATCAATATTTCTCGAGATAGGATAACAAGCTAATCATATATTAGTAAGTTTCACTCACCGATTAATTTGGAGACCTTGCCCCGGGCCTTGGCCGCCTCGATGATGTTCTCCCACTTGTTCTTCTTCGAACTTCCCCTGATTCTGCGACTTTGTCGACTGGTGCCGAGCCCGTGAACACTGTTGGTACTCGTGTGATACCTCTTCTTATCGCACAACATAGTAGCTGGTAAGTCGAAACTGTCCTCCTGTTGCACCTGCTGCATCGAGGCCGTAAATTCGTCGACCGGAGGCAAAATGCCACTCCCGCTCGGCTCAGCGCCGATGTTAATGAACCCCTTCATTAGTCGCCGCTCCTTCTGACGGTTCTTCTTTCCGCCGGCGCCTATTGTCAGCCCGCCGTCTGTGAACACAGACAGCCGACGGACTTATTCCAAAGCGGTAATTAAAATACTTAACGAAGTTTGGTCTGGTATAAAGAACTTTAATACGTGTAATTTAAAAATAAACTTTTAAACTAATTGACACTCGAGTTCGTGCCACCGGGCGGCTTGATTAATTTTTGTCGAAACCCGATTAATGTTCTTTCACGTTTGGTAATTTAATCGTGAATATATGATTCTCGCCAGCGAACTATTGAACAAAAGCGTGTACATGTTCAATTAATCGCGACCAGCAATGTTAAACGTCGTTCGCAAACTTTGAACTCTCGTCACGAAGAACCGGAAGTAGGCAATTATGAGACACGATATGCACGGCGCACGGCTCTTGATCGCATTAATTAGTCCTTCGCGGCTCGACGGATGATTAATAGCGTTTCGTTAACGAACTTTGAAAACTTTAGTTTCACAAGGCTTGCGAACAAGCCTTCCTAATGTCGCAATCCTGTCACGATGTACTTACGACCTCGAAATTTCAACGCGAATTTCAACATTAAATAACTTAGAACAGAATGGGAAGGGATGGCGCGTGAATATATTAGGTCGATGCATCATGGGACCCGCGATACATGATGCAATTATTTGATCGTTTAGGGGAATCTATGAAAATAGTTAACACAAGATTTTTATGCAAAATAAAATGTGTATGCACTTCTGATAAACGATTCTATTATCACTTATATTCACTGCAATCGCTTTTCGTGTTATAATAATTTTTTCATAAATTTTTCCATTGATTTATTCATAAAATTCTATTCATAAAAATTAATCCATTGATAAATTATTCGAACCAAGCTATAGCGACCGAATCTGTTCTATCACGAACTAGACGACATCATTTCACATGTAGTAATCCGATAAGGTCTAAACGAATTGATTCATGCTGGGTCGTTCAAATATTACAAATGCGACTCACCACCTCCGTTAGTTATTTTTATACCGGAACTTCTTCTGAGCAGCTCGAGCAGCTCGCATCGAAGGGAGCTGATATCCTGCTTAATTTCGTTCACGTCGTCCTCCGTGACTCCCTCGCTTTCAGCTTTCCGTTGTTCCACTGTTACGTACCGCCTCACCAAATTACGCATTATACTCTGATACTTGAAGTTCACTTTCTTCTATTGAACAAATACACCGCAGTTAGCTAACATATTAATCCACCACAGAGATACGTAATAAAACGATCTCGAAATTAATTTTATCGAGTTCATTGTACTTTGGTCACGCATTATTTGGACAAATTGAATTACGAAGACTAGTAATATTTACGAAAATGATTACTAAATATTATTCAATATTCAGATAAAACGCGGGAACGGAATAACACTCACTCTGATTGTTCTCATGTGCTCTTTCCTCCTCTCGGATCGGCTGTGGCCCCATAGTTTTCGATAGAGCCATAGACCTATGTACCAAACGCTCTTGGGGGTCGGGATTATGTTAAACGGCGGCGGTACCGTGCCGCCTTCCTCGAAATAACTGATCCACAGTTTGCTCCTGGCGAACTTCCATTCGACGTCGGCGCGTTCCTGAACGAAATCAGAAACGAAAATACTCGCAATCATCGCTATGCGATTACCGTACCGAAAGAGTATCAGGCAAGATAACTCACAGATATCAACTGATAGGAATGGTTCATCATGGCTATTAGCAAATTCAGTAGTACGACGATATTGATCACCGAATAGGTCCCAAACATCAGCATGCCCCAGAATCTGGTGAATGCTTTGATCCCGTCTAGTTCAAAGCTCTCGAGATCGACCAGTCCGAACACGGCCCAAAACAGCGTTTGCGCCGTTTCAAACAAACTGACGATTTAAATATCACAAAATATGTATTAATATTTTCTTTAGAACTGATA